GGTTTGTGGGTTCCCTTGGGCATCTTTGTACTGGATGAAAAAAGAGTCAAATTTCCCAGACGAGATAGTCCATGAAAGGCGGACAGAGTCATTGGTGACTTCAGAGATGGAGAGATCACCCAATTTGGGTTTTGCCTCCAAGTCCTTCCCTTGAGCTGGAAGAAATCAAAATACAAAATGTCTACGGGGATTCTCAGTCATCCAGGACACGGTTGTCCCAATGGTGCTTTTTTTTTTTCAAGAGGCGACTGGACTTTCTTGGTTTTTTGTTGAAGACGTTTCTGTCGGAGCTGAAGAAGCTTCTTGGATTGAGAAGTGAAACATCTTCAAAGAAAAACCAGAAAGTCCAGTCGCCTCTTGAAAAGAAAAAGCATCTTTGTGACCAAAATACAAAATATTACGAAGGGTGTCAGAGTATATTCATTAACTGGCAGAGACATGGTTATAACAAAGTCAGCAAGTGAGTAAGCATGGCAACAGACCAGCCAATGGGAGCTGACAGCCTGGGTGGGGTTTGGCTCTGTGTGCTTTGCTGAGAATTGAAACTGAAACTAACTTGCTTGCTTGCTTAAACTGAAATCTGCTCTAAGCTGCTGCTGCTTGTGTTTTTGCTTATGTTACGTTGAAAGAATCTACAAATGGTATTGTAAACTTTACTCATATTAATATGTTTATAAAGAAGTTAATGATCCTGCTGAATCAGTCTATGTGTTTTCTGGACTTGAATTTATGCGGCAAACTCTAATAAAGGGTGCCATGCTTTTTGCAAAGTATCGAGGGATCTAGCGCAGGGTATCTAAACTGGGTTCCATGGAAACCTAGGATCCTGAAACTAGAATCGATTCCGCAAAATGTGTTTGTGTGTGTGTGTGTGGGGGGGGAACGACACTTTTTTGCAGAATGAAAAAAGGCATACTTCTTTGCAGAGATTGATTGATTGATTGATTGATTTGAGTGGTGCGGTGGCCTAGAGGTGGAGCTCTCGCCTCACAATCAGGAAATCACAATCATTTCTTTTCTCTGCGCAGCTGCAAACCTTTATCAAACTATGCCAAGGTCAACAGACAGAAACTTCATCACCACCTGGAGATGTCCACATGATGATATTCACAACTTTTAATTGGAAGAACCATTTGAACTATTGGGGGTGGGAACAATTCCATCACTTTGTATATGTGATTTACGTGCTTAATTCCTCAGATTCAGAATTCTACTGTAGCTACCACTTCATTTCCAGTAAAAGATATATTTTCTCTAATTAAAAGAGTCTAAGTATTTCTTTCTTGGATTTTGAATGGAGCACAGCCTGACAATAGCTCTGCATACATGGCACCTAGGAAAAAACCTTGAAAAGAAATAATGAGGTGCAGAGAGAGAAGGATGTTATTTTTCCTCTTTAAAAAAAAAAGGAGTCTCTGACCTGTGACAGCTTCTGTAGAGACAGGACCGAATCGTTTCTGTTGAGAGATGCCATAGAGGTTGAACTTATATCTGTGGGAAGGCACCAAGTTGGAAATCACCACATCCCGGGTGTTGGTGTCTACAGACAACCCCTGGGGGTTGCCCTCGGCATCTCTGTACTCGACGCTGAAGGATTCAAATTTTCCAGTCAAGACCCGCCAGGTCAGACGGAGAGTTGTGTCAGAGATGTCAGAAGCGGAGAGTTTCCCCAGTTTGGGTTGAGGAGCAACTTGCAGCCCTGAAGGTTTTGGGACTAAAGAAAAACAAAACAAAACAAAACAGAAAATTCAAATGTGCTTGAGCTCTGGATCTGCTAGAGATCATGGAAAGCAAGTGGAAGAATATCTGTGTCAGCTAACCAACTCCAAACCCATAAACTCTGAGACAAAAACATTTTCTCAAAGTTCCATTTGATTAAGAGTTGTCATATGGGCACATCTGGGAAAACTCAAATCTGAAAGTTCCGGGTTTTCCCTTCCCAAAAGAGAATCAAAGATCCATCCCCTGCATCCATCAGCCCATCACATGGCCCAATCAAATCTTCGTCCCAACTAGAAACATCCTTCCAGTCATTCCTCTCCAGGTGCAGGGCAAGTTGTCCTTGACTCTCTGAGAAGAATGTTGTTGTGTCTAATCTTCTACCTCACTTTGAAATCCTCCCTCCCCAAATTCCCAGGCACTGAATGTGGCAGCCTCGAAGCTTCCAAGAAAAAGATGGCTTCCAAGGCTGACAATTTGGTTGATTGAACCCAGTCCAGAGGTAAGAGGGAGGAAGAAGAGTTTATCTTAATTGATCCGGGATAAGTCTGCCAAGGAAGTGTTTGTATATTTATTAATAGAGCTTATATCAATGTTTCTCAACCGTGGCAACTTCCAAGATGTGTAGATTTCAAATCCTAGAATTCCTGAGCCAAAATAGTAATGAAAAGAGTGACATTATTTTTACACTTTTCCAAATATCTTCCATTTCTGGCAAACCATTTTTATTTCATGGAAGGTCAAGAACCCCATGAGACTGTCTGGATCTATTGTGGGGAAAACTGGGATCTTATATCATTTCTCGTTTGTGGAATTGGTTTGTCTCATTGGAAAATATGCGTGCTGAGGCACAAGCCTGAAACTGCCATACCGTATTTGGCTTTCACCGAGTAGTCATTTTAATTTGTCTGTCAATTCATAAAATATTTATCTGATCTTTTAGAGTTGCCAAGAAGAAAGGGAGGGGGGAGCTTGCAAAACCGAAATTGCATTCCCATAAATGTTTTCAAAGATAGTGTCTAGGTGACCGAAGTTTCTGCCACGCAAAATTCCAACTGGAGAGTATGATTGATGACTCTTGGCTATGGATGTGTCCCGTTGGAGAATATGAATTACGATACACCCAGGGGGTGAGGGAAATCCAGGGTCAAGGGTGACAATGAATGATGTATCTCAGAGTCGGCTAAACCCAGGCAGCGCCCGCATGTTTACTCCTAATAAATCTTTGAGTTTTGAAAATCTGGCTAGAGACTCATGATTTAAATGAGGGTAACTACCGGAGCCCTGACATTGTCCTTGCAAATTTTCCCAGTAGCAGTGTGAAACCTAAACTAGAAATGCGCTTTTGAGATCACAAATGTAGTTTTGTCTCATGAAGGAGAAGCATTATAGAGGAACAGTTGCAAGGGTGGCTATTAGGCTGCAACTAACCTGTAACAGCCTCCACTGATATGGGGCCCAGACGCTTGCGACGGGAGACCCCATAAAGATTGAACTTGTATCTGTGCGAAGGGACCAAGTCATGGAAGCGCAGCGATCGCAAACCTCCATCTACAGGCAATGCTTGGGATTTGCCGGCGTCATCCCGGTACTGGATAATGAAAGAGTCGAAATTCCCAGATTCCACAGTCCAGGACAGAAGAAGGGATTCCGACGTGATGTTATGAGCTGACAAGGTTCCCAGCTTGAGTGGTTGGGTGCCTTGGCCTAGAAGAGAGAAGGAAGATGATCTGGATTGAAAAATAGGGCAATGCCGGTTTTCGTGTTATTGATTATACATAGGGCTCTTGCTTGGGATTTGGGTGGGCTGATTTTGTCTCTTTTAAAAATATATACAGAAGAGAGAGAGGAGGAGAGAGGGAGAGAGAGAGGAAGAGAGAGACAGAGAGAGATATGAGAGAGAGGGTGGGGGGAGAGAGAGAGAGAAAACAGCAAAATCAATACAACTGAAAAAAGTGAGGTTACAGGACCAGATCTGTGCAAATTTTATTTGAAAAAACAAATAAATAATCTCTCTCTCTCTCTCTCTCTCTCTCTCTCTCTCTCCCTCCCTCCCTCCCTCCCTCCCTCTCTCTCCCCCCCACTTGGAGTCATTGTTGATTCATCAGGAATATCTTTCAGTTTTAAGATTTTGGGAAGTGGTTTGCTTTGGCTTTTTTCTTCCTAGGGCTGCGAGGTAGGGATTGGCCCAAAGTCACAGTCTTCCAGTTTCTGGAAGATCTTACTGTACTTTATAGTATATTACTGTTGTACCATGTAAGTCACAATGATAACAGAATGGTGGGCTGCCCTCGGATTTCCACAAAATAAACAAACAAAGACATCATCAGTGAACATCATCGTCAAGTCCCCAAAGCCCCATTTCCCTCTGACCTGTGATGGCATTGGTAGAAATGGGACCGAGGCGTTTGCGCCCATTCAGGCCGTATAGGTTGAACTTGTATCTGTGAGAAGGACCCAGGCCGGTGACGGTGATGTCCCGTGAAGTGCCATTGAGGGGCAGGACTTGGGGCTTGCCCTCAGAATCCTTGTATTGGAGCAGGAAAGAATCAAAATTCCCGGCAGCCACAGTCCAGAACAGAGCCACTGAGTTGTTGGTGACCCGAGAGACGGAGAGATCTCCTAGCTGGGGCTGAACGTTCCTTCCTTCTTCGGATATCTCTGCAAATAGAGAACGATAAAGAAGAAAACAGATGCTTGTCAAACTTGAAATGACATAAACGTTTAGATCTGTCGTATCTCCCTCAGCTTGAGCGCATCAGTCAGGAGGCCAATCTGAGAAAACTGGGAGCAGAAAAAGCTGGAGAAGAGGTAGAATGAATGAATGGATGGATGGATGGATGGATGGATGGATGGATGGATGGATGGATGGATGAATGAATGAATGAATGAATGAATAAATTCTTTATTGGCCAAGTGTGATTAGACACACAAGGAATTTGTCTTGGTGCATACGCTCTCAGTGTACATAAAAAGAAAAGGTACATTCATCAAGAATCATAAGGTACAACACTTAATAATAGTCATAGGGTACAAATTAAGCAATCAAATCATACTAGGAAACAGTCAATATACAGTAAATCGTAAGGATGCAAGTGACAAAGTTACAGTCATACAGTCACAAGTGGGAGGGGATGGGTGATAAGAGTGATGAGAAGATTAATAGTAAAAGAGTTAATGCAGACTTAGTAAATAGTTGGGCAGTGTTGAGGGATTTATTTGTTTAACAGAGTGATGGCGTTCATGGGAAAAAAAACTGTCCTTGTGTCTAGTTGTTCTGGTGTGCAGTGCCCTATAGCTTCGTTTTGAGGGAAGGAGTTGTAACAGTTTATGTCCGGGATGTGAGGGGGTCTGTAAATATTTTCACAGCCCTCTTTTGGACTCGTGCAGTATACAGGTCCTCGACTGAAGGCAGGTTGGTAGTAATTGTTTTTTCTGCAGGCCTAATTATCCTCTGAAATTATACCTGAGGTATTTCCCCCCCCCCCAAAAAAAAGTAACTGGATTCGTTTTTCCTTGAAGACATTATGCTTCTCATCCTAGGAGTTTCTTCAGTTATGACTGAATGGTGGAGGATGGAAGGATTGATACTCTTTGCAGTCATCTGGTCATTTCTGAGAGCCGCTGAGGCCACATGTAGGTTTATCTGTGCCCTCAGGGTCACCTGATAGTACAAATGGGCGTGGAACCTTCTTGGAATTGTTGAAAGGACTGTGTTGTAAAAGAGGAGGTGGATAGTGTCGTATCCCCTCCCTCTCTGTTGAGAGAGGGATGTTCAACCTTAATATAGATGGCCTCTCGTCCAAAATATGCATTTTGCTGTCTTCAAAAGAGTCACCTTTGTCGTTCAAATGTAGATGGATTGTTGAATCTTGTCCTGATGGGCCAAGGAGCCTCAAGACTCTCAGAAAGAGAACTAACCACTAGATCAGTGGTCCCCAACCACCGAGCCCTGGACCAGTACTGGTCCATGGATCATTTTGTACTGGGCCGCCGGTTTGCTTGGGCGCCGCCATCTTGTTTCGACGGCGCTTGAGAAAGTGCTTCCGGGTGAGCTTGTCGGCCGTCGGTTGTTGGAAAGTGGCATTTGGGTGCTGAAGGAATCCTCGCGCCTTAGTTTCGTCGAAGAGGGGAGGGGGCGGCTTCGAACGAAGAGCCGTCCCAATGGCGGTGGAGTATCGCGTTACTCAGGAGGAGATTAAGAAAGAGCCCAAAAAGCCCAAAAAAGGTACAAAGGCGGAGTTGAAGGTGGCGGGGAGAAGCGGGGGATGGCTGGCTGGCCGGTCGCTCGGCTCGCCTTGCCTTGGTCGTGCGTGCTGATGCCGGTACCGGTCCGTGGATCATTTTGTGATGCCGGTACCGGTCCGTGGTACAAAAAAGGTTGAGGGCCACTGCACTAGATGACTGAAAGGAATATAAATCCTTCCATCCTCCATCATTCACTCAGAACTGAAGAAGCTTCCCGGATAAGAAGTGAAATGTCTTCAAGGAAAAACAAAGCCCAGTTGCCTTTTGAAAAAAAAAAAAAAAGCACCTTTGGGACAACTGTGACCTGGACGACTGAGAATCTCCACAGACAATGAAATCGTACCATTCCAGGATTCGGAAAGTCAGGGAGCTGCAGGGATTTGAGGGGATAATATTTACAATTGTTTAGAACTGTGAGAGCTGCTCAGAGTCACGTGCCTGAGATGAGGGTCCCAAAATCCATTTGGGCATCTGTTAGAAATATAGCCGTGTGTTGGCTAAATCAGTGAGTCGATATGTGGGAAGAAATAACCATCTGGTTTAGTTCCAAGCCAGGAGAAAGACACTGGAAGCATGGAGGCTGCTTGGAAAGATGGTTTAAGGATGAGCAGAACCATGATGCACATGGTTCTAGTCAGTGGCGGGATTCAAATTTTTTTACTATCGGTTCTGTGGGCGTGGCTGTGGGTGTGGCTTGGTGGGCATGGCAGGGGAAAGATAACTGCAAAATCTCCATTCCCACCCCACTCCAGGGGAAGGTTACTGCAAAATCTCCATTCCCTCCCCACCCCACTAACCTGCTTTCCAGCTCCGTTCTCCTGTGCAGGCAATAAAAGACCCAGCTGATCAGCTGGGACTCGGGAGGCAGAGAATAGATGGGGGTGGGGCCACGCAGAGGTGGCATTCTGAACTATTCAAAATTTCTGCACCAGAACTGGTCAGAACCTGCTGAATATCACCTCTGGTTCTGGTGCAGCTGACAAAATGGAGTTGAGAGTGAGGGGTTTTATACCTTCTTTGGGTTTTGCACTTGAACTCCCTGTTCCTGTGCATGAATATGTATTCTATTGGCTGCTGTCAGACTCCCATGGGGCCATGTAAGGGTAATGTAGAGGTCAGAGCTGGCTCTATAGGCAAAGTACAAATCCTAGGTGTTTGTCTGAGCTAAGTTTGGTTGAAGTTTCTGAGGGTGATGCAATCAAGGAGCTTGTGTTCTGAATGGGTGTTGGGTAGATCCTATTGTGGCTTAATGGCTTTTTCCTCTGTTGGAACTTGGGTGTTAGGAATTGCTAGTCACCTAACAGTTGGGTTGGAAATATATAAACCAGGATAGACATTTAATACTGTCTCTTTAAGGGAATGCAAAAATTGTAATTGGGTGTGGTTCCTCAAATGGCCATAAGATGGAGCCAGAAACCTGGGTTGTTAGTTCTGTTGTTGTTAGTTGCTAGTTGTTGGTTGGTTGATGTTCTTTGGTTCCTGCATTTTCCCTATTGACTGTTGCTGATTGACTGTTGTTCTTGGATTGCTGTGAGTCTATTTACTGAACTCTTTATGATACTGGCATTTGATTTTTGGATTATCCCTGGACTGAATACTGACTGCTTTAACCGTGTATGACTTGGACTGCTTGTTGGACTTTGCTTAACCATTTACTGGAAGTAAAACCTACATTTTACTATTCAGTGTATCCGTGTGCTGGTCGTGTGTTATTCAACATCCCTCTCACTACATCTCCCTGTGTGCACTCATTCTCCTAACGGGGAATTACCTCAACAGTATTTGCTTATGAATAGAGCTATCTATCTCTTTATCTCTTAAGTGCTGATGTCTGCTGTGGGCTATTAAGAAAAGGTGGGGGTTGCTTTCTCCTTCTAAAAAAACATGTTTCTCCATTTCTCATCTAGGGAAATATAATATTCTGCCTTTTTAATATTTCTCAAAATATTTCCTTCTTCCAGGAGAGGGATGGGTACTAACTTTCTACAGATCCATCCGTCCATCACTGACCTGTCACAGTGTGAACTGAGAGGGGCCCAAGGTGCCTGTAGCCAGAAACTCCAAACAGGTCAAATTCATACGTCTGTGAAGCTGTGAGGTTGTAGAGATGGAGGGAGCGCGTGGCTCCATCAACGGGTACGGTCTGGGGCTTGCCTGAAGCATCCTTGTACTGGATAATGAAGGAGTCAAAGCTTCCTTCCTGGACGCTCCAGGAGAGGAGAAGGGAGTCAGGAGTGACCTCAGAAACAGTGACTTCTCCAAGGCTGGGCAGGTTGCTCTTGCCTGTAGTTTCCTCTGGTTGTTTCTTTTCGTCAACCTGCCCAGTTGTTTCGGCAGCTGCAAAAATAAAAGAGGAAGATGATGGAGGATCCTCAGGTATAACTGCCAGGAAACCATTTTGTCCTGTTTTGATCTTTCTTGCCACGGCTGTGAAGGGAATCAATTGTTCACTTCAATTTTTAAGTGTCAGTTTTGGAAGCCATGTTGAGATCCGAGGCTCCCACGCTGCCACAACTGAGCCTGTGAAAGTGGGAGGGAGGAATTCATTGGAGTGGATCTAATTAGACATAACAACCATTCTTTTTCTGTCGCGTCGCGCGTAGTGAAAGGAAGTTTTACTTTGGGACGGATGGGGATTGGGCATGTGATGTGATGATGGGTGTAGGGCAGAGGTCTCATTCTCGCAGCCCGCGGGCCAATTGCGGCCCGCAGGACGATATCCTGTGGCCCCCACCGTGATATGAAAGTATAATATTAGTGTATAATATAAATATAAAGTATAATATAAAGTATAATATTATGCGGCCCAGCCTCACCCAGACTCTGCCTCCAGTGGCCCCCCAGGTAAATTGTGTTTGAGACCCCTGGTGTAGGGGATGGATTTGTAGTTTTTACTTATTATAAGGAAGCCCGGAACTTTCAGATTTGGGATTCCACAGTTGTGCCGGTTACTATCCAAATAAAAGGAACTTTAGAGAGATGTCTGTCTTGGAGTTATTGGCTGGAATGGAGGTTTGCTGGAACGCTGACATTAAGTTAGTTCAGTGAATCGGGTTTCCCCGTTTCCTTTGCTGTCAGAATGTCTCAAAAGGGGATCACGTGACCTCCTTTAGTCTTCCCACTTGGCCCCCTGTTAACAGCACAGATCAAAGGTGTGTGGATTGCTCGGATAGCTTGAGATCCGTATCAGTCCCTGGAGGAAACAGGGGTAAGATTTATAAACGAAACAGGAAAAGGATTTATGAAGGATTTAGATGGCAGAACCATATATCTTAATACAGGAAGGATGCAATTGATTGCAGGCATATGACACCACAACCATTGTAAATATGAGCCAGTTGCCAATATTGGTGGGAGTCCATTTTTTTTACTACCGGTTCTGTGGGTATGGCTTGGTGGGCGTGGCTTGGTGGGTGTGGCAGAGGAAGGATACTGTAAAATTCCCATTCCCTCCCCACCCCACTAACCTGCTTTCCAGCTCCATTCTCCTGTCCAGGGCAATAAAAGAAGACCCAGCCGATCAGCTGGGACTCGGGAGGCAGAGAATAGATGGGGGCGGGGCCAGTCAGAGGTGGGATTTGCCGGTTCTCCGAACTACTCAAAATTTCCGCTACCGGTTCTCCAGAACTGGTCAGAACCTGCTGAATACACCACCTCTGGTTGCCAAGCATTTGAATTTTGATCGCAAGACCATGCTGTAATGGCCGTAAGTGTGAAAAACGGTCGTGAGTTGCTTTTCTCATTGCTCTTGTAACTTAGGATGTTACTAAATGAACTGTGGTAAATCGAGGACTACCTGTAAGCAAATTTCAGCTCATAAGGACAAGAAACTTGTGTTTCTGTTCAAACGAAAGGTTTGGGTGATGAAATGTCTGCAAGAAAACCACCAAGTTCAGAGAACACCAAGTGTTGGTGGCATTCAGCAGGTTCTGACCAGAGGTGGTATATTCAGCAGGTTCTGACCAGTTCTGGAGAACCAGTAGTGGAAATTTTGAGTAATCCGAAGAACCGGCAAATACCACCTCTGACTGGCCCAGCCCCCATCTATTCTCTGCCTCCCGAGTCCCAGGTGATCGGCTGGGTCTTCTTTTGTTGCCTTGCACAGGAGAATGAAGCTGGAAAGCAGGTTAGTGGGGTGGGGAGGGAATGGGGATTTTGCAGTATCCTTCCTTGGCCAAGCCCACCAAGCCACGCCCACAGAACCAGTAGTACAGGGGTGGGAATCCATTTTTAAAACAAGCAGTTCTGTGGGCGTGGCTAGGTGGGCGTGGCCAAGTGTCTGGGTGGGCGTGGCTTTTTTTCAGCAACCTCCCCCCCCCTCCATTTTTTGGTCCTTCTGGGCCTCAGGGACACCTCCTGGGGGGGGGGGTTGCTCCCACAAGGCTTCCCCGGGGCTCAGGAAGGGAAAAAATGGAGCGTGGGGGGGTTGTTGCTCCCCCCACTCCATATTTTTTTTTTTTTTGCTTTCCTGGGCCTTAGGGAAATCTCCTGGCTGAAACAGTAAGACAGTGAGGGGAATCCCGGTGCAGCTGATCATAGGAACAGCTAATCATCAGGAGGGGGAAAAAAAGAGAAATACCTTAAGGAGTGACTGGGCAGGGAAGAACGCAGTCAGCGATTCAGGTATGTGCACAATGTTGCGCATGCGCCATAAGGACTGACTGGGAGGGGTGGGCAGAGAGGGGCGGGGCCAGCCAGGGGCACAATTTGCCGGTTCTCCGAACTGTGCTGAATCATAACAACCGGTTCTATAGAACCAGTCCAAACCGGTAGAATACCACCCCCGGCAGTTGTAAAAATTTTTCGAATCCCACCACTACCTCCCACCTGTTTTATCCAGCCCAGCAGGTGTTGCTAACCTGTTGTGAACACTTGGGCAGAGACCGGTCCAAGGCGCTGTTTTCCAAAGATACCATAAAGATTGAACTTGTACTTGTGAGAAGGTGATAGATTGGAAACGATGACATCACGGGAATCTCCTCTTAAAGGGAGCACTTGGGGTCTTCCTTCAGCATCTTTGTACTGGACTGAGAAAGAATCAAAGCTTCCTTCTGGGACGGTCCATGTTAGCCGGGCTGAATGACTGGTGATCTCTGGGACCGAGAGCACGCCCAAGCGGGGCCTTATCCCAGCAGGCACCTCCCGGTCCACATCTCCAGGCACACCTGGGGGCTTCTCATTGTCTGCTGGTGCTAAAGAGATAAGAAACATGGTTGAAGTGAGTGAGACAGGGAGAGGCCGAGGCTGAAATATTATTAGTCTCATCTTTTGGTTTCTTTCTTTTTTTTTTTCAGAGACAAAGTTTACATCAGGAGTTTCCGAAATCTGGAGACCTCTAAACAGGTTTGACCACATCACCCAGGATTCCCAACCAGCACACATTTGGAAAAGTGGGATGTACTGTACACGTAAGGATTCTATATGATCTAGCAATATAAAAAAGTGCTGGGAATTTCTTCACTGGTTTATTACGGTAAATAACCATTTTTCAAAGGCATTGATTCATAAATCTGCTCTGTTCCGTATCTGTCTATTCCTAGTAACTTTGAAAAAAGATCCAAACATTTATGTGTTTTATAATTGTACTGTCTCACAAAGATAGATAGATAGATAGATAGATAGATAGATAGATAGATAGATAGA